CCATTTAAAACAAATTGGCCGACATGACATGTGGATCGTACCATTTTATATTTTGTCATGAGATAGTAATGTTCTGACTGGTTAGGTTGACATTTTTTACTTTCTTTTTAATGTTCTGTCTGGTTACGTTCATGTTTCTACTTTCCTATTTCTTTCTTTCTAATTAGTAAATTGATTAAAAACGGGTTTGAGAAATCACGTTATTCTTACGTAGGGTGATTGAAAGAAACTACCTTCCTGAAATACCAATGGTATGATATTTTTAGTTTCCTTTATTAAAAATATTTTCTAAAAGGGTAAAATTTAATAATTAATAAGGAATATTCTATTTTATTATATTAATTTAATTGCAGCGTAAAAAAAGTTAAATTATTTGAAATAAAAAACCATAGAAAATGACTATATATTATTATGAATTTTCCTCAATTCTTCTTTTTAAAAAAAAAATTTTGAAAATTTATTTTTTAAATTGTTTAAGTTAATTTAATTTAAACTCGTACATAAATTCTGTGTAATATGAACACGGGTTTTAATCATAAGTTAATTTTTTATTTAAAAAAATAATTAACATGATAAATATTAAATTATCGACATTATATTATTAAAGTTTAACTTAAATAATAAATAAAAAAATTTAACTTAATTTACTAGTGTATTTATACTACTACAATTATTAAATTGAGTTTAATTTTAATAAACTTATTATATTTATGTATAAAAATAATATTTTATAACAATTAAGTTCTTTTAATTAAAAAAATCATAAAAAATTAAAATTTAATATAAACTTTTTTATTTATAAAAGAAATTAATAAATCAACGAATGATTATAACTATTTTAAAGGTTAATAATAGTTAGGACGAAGGTAAAGATTTAATAGTTCACGTATCCAACTAAAAATTACAAAATAATTTTCACGTAAGTTTAGTAAGTATTTATATAATATTTCGGTGGTAATACTTTTTAAATAATTATCAATAATCAAACAATCAATCATATGAATATTTATCAATTTATATATTTATTTTCTCGTTAAATATTACGAGCTCGAATGTTATTATAAATTTATAATTTTATCATTTAATAAATATATTATAAATTAAAAGGAATCATATATAATCAATATAATAATATATTTGATTAGTTGTAATTTAACATAACTTTTTTTGTTTTTCATAAAAAAACAATAAGAATTATCAATGGGTAAAATGTTTCCAAAGCATATTTCACTTTGTTTTGTAAAGAAAATAATTGTATTTGATTTGATGGGAGTTGACACAAGAATTGATTGATATCTAATGAACTAACATAAATATTAATCATATTTAATTATATAATTAACCTAACTTAATTAAATCCTATTGATTAGTGTTCTAAATATATTTAATTATAAATTTCACTATCAATAAAGTTTGATTTTTTCAAACAACTAGATTGGATTTTGATGGAAATCTATATGTATTTGTTGGAATATATATATATATAAACACATGTTTCATGAGATCTCCTTACATAGTCAACACATACATTACATCCGCATATGACTATATTGTATGGACTTGACGATATATGCAAATATATATTTTTTATATGTTTTTTTTATAAAATAAAATGATAGGTCAATTATTAATTCATTATAAATACTCAAGCCAAAGAAAATTTATTTGTTATGAGATAATTTTTTTGCCGTATTCGTAATAATTTATTTGAATAAAATTTATTTTAATAATTATAATTTAATTAATAAATTAGTAAATTAAATTTACGTATATTTAATTAAATATTATAAGTCAGTTATCACTATTTAATATTATACTGATAAATTTTATAATTTTAGTGAAATTTAAATTAATAATTTTTATATAAAATTTTAAAAACTATATTATTTTATTATTTGTATTAAATTTAAACTATAAAATTAATATAAATATATTTTTATTTTATTTTTAAATAATATCGACAAGAGCTCTTCGTACAAAATAAATCATAAAAAATTATGTGTTTAACAAAAATATTTTTTAAAATTTTAAATTAATTTGTTAATAAAAAATTAAAATTATTTTCTAAAAATTACATACCCTAAGTTTTGACTTTAAATATATTAAAATAAATTTTAACTTTAATTTAGAAATGATCTAAAAATTTAATTAATTTATAATCAATTTTAAATCAAATTTGCCATTGGGGCGTGGCGTTCACGTGCGTCCGCAATCATTCTCCACCATATTCAAACACTCCAGATATATGTAAGTCCTTCCTATTCCCTTTTCCTCTGTCTGTCGTCAGTTTTTGATCTCCAGTCTAACTAACTTACTGGTGTATCTGGCGGGAACCTTTTCGATCGACGGCGAGAGTCCGTCGACCGGAGTTTTCTGCCGAGTCATTCTTCTCCGTTGTTGTTAATCCAAGGTAATTTCGGTTGTCTCTCCATTTGTTTAGTTGTTTGTTTGTTTTTCGACTGATCTTTATTTAACTTACTATGTTCATGACGTTTGGTATAGAATCTGAAATCGGCTTTGCTCTTCTTTCTTTCTTTACGTTCATCTCCGTAATGGCTGGAGAGAAGCTCCAGTTTTCTTTGTTGGTGTACTTATGGCGACTATGATGGATTAATGTGATTGTCAGTTCGTTATATATTTGGAATTTGTCAATCTAAAATTATTTAGATCTCTGTATGACGTTCAAAGGAACTAGTTTGCTCGTTTTCTTTGTTGGTGCACTTATGGCAACTATGATGGACTAATGTGATTATCAATTCATTATATGTTTGGAATTTGTGAATCTAATATAATTTAGATCCCGATATGACATTCAAAGGAAGTAGTTTGCTTGTTTTAATGTTTATTGTATGGTAATCAGAGTAAGATGCTTTGTGGTCTCCGTTTTTCTGATTTGATTCCTGATAAAAATCTTTTGTCGTGGATTTCAATCTGAATTTCTAAATGCCGTCATGAAAATCATGTCAAACATGAAATTAATCATACAGTTCTTTAGATGGAATATTGTGTTGATCATACAATTCTTTAGATGGAATATTGTGGATTTGAAGTGAGACTGTAAGTCATATATGACCTCACTTTTCTTTTGTCTTGACTTGCAAATTTCTTTCAAGGCTCTTTCAGAAATGTTTCTAATTTCTTGTCTGTACCAGATCATGTTATTGCTAAGCAAGAATGACTAGTCCTTCACACTTAAGCAACAACGTTCAACTAATTAAGATGACTTGGGCCCATTGGAGAAATGCCGAAAGCATAATTCAAAATTTCAATGTTTTGGAGCAGGAAAAATGTGAAAGCTACTTGATTTTTCGAAGTGAAACTGCTCTTTCAAATGGTTTCCGAGCCTTTTTATATTTTCTTGGTATTGCATACTGCTTCCTGGGGTTGTCAGCCATAACTGGTCGCTTTTTCCGGTCTATGGAGCATGTTGTCAAGCACACCCGTGAAGTGGTGGAGATTGATCCTATTACCAATCAGGAGATTACTAGGCATGAAAAAGTATGGAATTACACTATTGCAGACATCAGCCTGTTGGCCTTTGGGACTAGCTTTCCCCAAATATCATTAGCTACAATTGATGCTATAAGGAACCTTGGCAACCTCAATGCTGGAGGTTGGTTATTATATTTTTGTCTTTATTTTAAATGATAACTTTTGTATGTTATGTGAAATAAGTTTTCTATTTATGTTCTAACAAGCATCTCGTTGTATAAGCGGGATACCAAAGCTTGATAGTTCACACAAATTCAAACGGGTGCAAGTCAAAACGAACTGATGGACTATGTCCAAAGGCTCAATTGTGTCAACAAACAATGAAATTGTTACTGGGGAAGTGAGTTTAACTAAGGGTTCTTGCTCTATACCATGTGAAATAATTTATTTTGCCAACCAAAATTTTAAGTTGATAGAGAGGATCCCCAACTTTATCATTTAATATTTTAAGAGTTACATGCTAAATCTTATGCTATTATATATATATATTTAATTTTTTTTTGGGTGCAGAAACTCTCTCTGGTGTAGAAACTCTTCCATTCATTCCAGCCCACCTAGTTTTCCTGTAATTATTGATTTTCCTCAATGTAATATCTCCTTATTTTCTTCTACCATTGGATTTCCTTGGTGTATTTTTCCATTAGGAACTTTGGCATATGATTGACAATTTATGACCTGTGGCTATGCTTTACCGATGAGTGTAAGGTTCTTACTCTTGATTGAAGGTCTTCAAATTTCTATTGTGCCTGAAAATGGAGGACATAACCCCAAAGGACATCGGATATTCTGATAGGTTGTTTTTTCTTGAACATTTTT